ATTTCAGAGAACTTCTAACCTGAGAATGATAGTGTCCTTAGGAAGCCTTCAAAGATAGTCTGTACTGCCCACTTGTGAGTTCAGGGCACATTTACTGAGGCTACAAAAACTAGAACCTTCTAAAGATAACCTGCTAAAAATAATTCCTACTGGAAAACCAAATAAATAAAAAAACCAAAAATAAATACCCAAATGAACAGAAAGTCCAAGATCCTGAACCAAGAAAGACAATGAGTGTGGCATCTACCGACTCTATTTGCAAGAGTGAGCAGTTGGGAGGTAATCATACTAAGGAAAGCTAACATTTATTACTGCTTGAGGCCATGCCAGACACTGTCCTAAGCACTTGATAATCGCTCCCTCACATAATCCTCAGGACAATCCTATAAGGTAGGTGGTATTAGTCCTATTTTACAGATGAGGGCTCTGAGATGAACACACAGGAAGCCAGAAAGTGTTGGCACGTGGCCATGAGCTGGCTCCTGGCCACGCTGCAGCCAAGTTCATATAGCTGCCCATGTAAAGATGTCCTCTGGGAGCCATCTTGGGTGAGCTGCTAATTTTCGGCTATATATAAGTGGCATCTGATGCTATATTTTCTATTGCACAGCATTATAGCTCCTTCTAAAACCACCTCTCCAGGCTGTTCTAGCTAAGCCTCTCCTCAACACAGTTAATTTCTAGATACCAATCCTATAGCCATGTCAAATCACAGGGTGACTAAGAGAATCATCCAATGAGCATGCACTGAGTTCTTGCAACGTATGGGGCTCTGAGACACAGAGATGGAAAAGCCAAAGTCCTTGGATTGAAGGATTTCATAATCTGGTGGTAGAGACAGACAAGTAAACAGACCATTCCAATACATGCAACAAATATTATTATAATAGGTACAAATAGCACTTCATTTGTACTAGGCACTGTTCTTAGCACATTTCATAGATTTTTCTCATTTAATCTTCACAGTAATCCCATGGGTAGCTGTGGTTAGCATTTTGCATATAAGGAAATGGAGGCACCGAGAGGCTATGATTTAGCCTTAAGTGGAAGAGATGGGATGCTGAGTCCAGGCAGTCTGGCCCCAGTCCTGCACTTTAAACCAGGCTGCTCTCTGACCTCCATCCTGATGGAGGCAAGCACGGAGGAACGTACCAGCACAGAGGAGGAACGCTGCCTCAGGCAGGGAGGCATCTTTCCAAATGAGGGGGTCCCAAGTTGGATGGAGTGATCTATAAAACCTACTAGTCCATGACTAGACAAGACATGGTTGGGGGGAAAATTAAGTGTGGTACAGGCACATTCTGGAGTATATATTGTAGTCAGGAGTGATGCACTGGCAACATGGCAGCATGGATATAGTTTATGAGCATAAGACGAAGTGGAAAAAGGAAGACACAGAATGGGACCTGTACCACCATGTCATATATGTAAATTTAAAATGCATACACAAGAAACAATGATACACATATATAAGAACATGTATAAATAAAATTATTCCTATCAAAGTAGAATGGTTGCCTTTGGGGATTAAGATGGAGTTCTAGTGGAGAAAGGGATAAGAGAAAATAAAGCAAGAGAAGCATCATGATGGTAGTGTACTGTGAAAGGAAGGGAATAAGTAAGTCAACCTTGGGTCCCTGAGACAAGAGGAGGGTGAGGAGAAGGAAGAGGAGAAGGAGGAGGAGGAAGAGGAAGATAAGGAGGAGGAGGAGGAGGAGGAGGAGGGTGAGGAGGAAGATGATTCTTATTAGTGTCTGTCAAGCACATACCCTCCCCAATGTCTATCACCCAGCCACCCCATCCCTCCCACCCCCCACCACTCCAGCAACCCTCAGTTTGTTTCCTGAGATTAAGAATTCCTCATAGCAGTGAGGTCATAGGATACATGTCTTTCTCTGATTGACTTATTTCGTTCCCATGCTGGTAAGTTCTATTTACCATTTCCTAATAGAATGTTTATGCAACTATTTTGAAAAGAGCCATTTTCAGTCCTCAGAAAAGTTGGCCAAGTCTTTATTGGAAATTCGAACCGGCATATAAAACAAATAAATGATTGACTTAATTTTTTTTTTAGAACAAAAGTACCTAGAAGAGAATGTGAAAGTCAATCAGGAGGGATGAACAAACAGAAAACCTTCTCTGACCTTTGGAAGTCAGAGAATAGTCAACAAACTGATTTAGGCAATTTCACTGCTTTGAAGGTTTCAAAGAAGACTGATTTCTGTTTGTTCTGCCACCATTTGGAAGTGCAAAGATCAAGGACATCAAAAGTGTTATCTGAGCTTTTGAATGTGTTTGTGAAATTGCCAATATGTCATTGAGGCATTTCTCAGAGATCTGCATTGTGGCACTTTTTATCTGTGTCAGTTTGGCAGGTGCCATCTGATCAAGTGAGTGGCCCTTCCGGCACACCAAATGCCTTCCAAACGCCTTCCAAAGGCATGCCAGAGAGAAAAGAAAACCAGCCATTTCCTGTGATTGGGAGTCAGAGTTAACCAAAGGGCCTATGATGACTTCCTGAGGATGTTTAGTTGGTCATTACTGTGGCTGACAGCTGGTGCATGAAGCTTGTAGTCTACACTTCATGAACAGCAGTATTAAATCTTCAGAATCACAAAGACGTCCAGTCACCCTCTGTAGTAAGTGCCACTTCAATAAAGTTTATCCGAGGGAGTCAGTCCAGGGCTGATATGGTACTCCCCATCGTCAGGGACCCATACTCCTTCCTGCTTGCTTCTCTGCTGTTTGTGACTTCCATTCTCCAGTTCACTTCATGGTCCAAGTCTGCTGCCGATGCTTCAGCCTTTCAGTAGGAAAGAGGATGGGAGGAGAAGAACATGCCCATCCCTGCTACCTCCCTTTAAGGAGACTTCCTGGAAGTTTCTTTAGAATTTAGTCCCAGGGCTACAACTACTTATTGGAGACTATAACCCAGTTAAAATTTAGGGGTCTGTTACCACAGAAAAGGTAAAAAGGATTTTAAAGGACAATTAGCTAGTTCTGCCCCATCATCCTTCAGGACTCAGTTCAAATGTCCCTTCTTTAGAGAGACCATCAGAGCCCATCCTGTCAATAGCAGGCCTTCCCTATTTATTCTTCATCACAGGACTTGTTCTACTTTTTATGTTCTTGCTCCTTCACTAGAACAAAGTTTCTTGAGTATAGGGACCTTATCTATCTTGCTCTTTACCTCCATACCCTAGTGCCTCACAGTGTGTGGTACATAGTAGAAACTTGATAAACATGTGGAATGAATGAACAAATCATGAATGAGCATCCTTAGCAGAGAAAACCAATGTGGTATTGAGGCTAAATATATAAGTTCTGGGGTTAGACAGCCTTGATTAAAATCTTGGCTCCACCTCTTATTAGTAATGTGACTGTGGGCAGTGCCTTAACTTGTCTAAGTTTTGGCTTCTTTATTTGTAAAAATGGAGGGGGTTGCTTTTGGGAGAATGAAATGAGTTAATGCATGTGAAATGTTTACCTCTCTGCCTCCTGGATAGCTAACAATAAAGGTTAGTCTTTATACATGACCATAAAAATAATTATAATTTTTGTTATTATTGGGACCTATCTAGTCCAAAGATTCAAAGGAGGCATCCCAGAGGAAGAGACCTTAGAGATGAGCCAAGGGGATAGGCAGGAATTGACTAGACAAAAAAAAAAAAAAATGGGTAAGGGAGAACATCCTAGGAAGAAACCACATATGCAGAGGTCTTGGGGCAGGAAGTGATATGTTAGAATTAGAAAAAAAGTCAATGGGGCCAGAGTGAAGAGAGGAAGCATAGTATGTAAACTGAGACTAGAAAGGAAGACAGGGTTAGAACATGCAGGACTTTGTATTATGAACTTTATCCTCAGTGCAAAGAGAAACTACTGAAGTGCTCTCAGCAGGGGAGTGCAGAATCAGATTTGTAATGTATATGTTGGGATTATTGCCCTTTAAAAAGTGGAAGAGACATGAGATCTCCAATGAGCACACACCAAGGAAAAACCACGTGAGTGCACATTGTGAAGGTGACTGTATACAAGCCAGGAAGACGGTCTTCACAAAGAGCTGAATCTGCCAGCACCTTGATCTTGGACTTCCCAGCATCCAGAACTGTGAGAAATAAATCTGTTATTTAAGCTACCAGTCTATGGTATTTTGTTAGAGCAGCCTGAGCTAAGACAACCTCCCTTATTTGTGGATTGGAAAACTTAATGCTGTTAAGATATTGATGCTACCCAAAGTGATCTACAGATGCAGTGCAGTTACTATCAAAATTTTAATAGTGTTTTTTTTACAGAGATAAAAAAAATCCATCCTAAAATTCATAGGGAATCTCAACGGACCCCAAACAGTCAAAACAGTTTTGAAAAAGAACAAAGTTGGAGGTCTTGCACTTACTGATTTCAAAACTTATAAAGTTAAGTAAATCAAAACAGTGTAGTACTGGCATAACGACAAACATATAGATCACTGGAATAGGAAAAAGAATCTGGAAACAAACCCTCCTTTATAGATGGTCAAATGATTTTGGACAAGGGTGCCCAGACTATTCAATGGAGAAAAGATAGTCTTTTCAACAAATGTTGTTGGAAAAACTGGGTATTCATATTCAAAAGAATAAAGTTGGACCCTTACATTACACCATATATAAAATGGACTCAAAATATAATAATGGAATATTATGCAGCCATCAAAAGGAATGAAATCTTGCCATTTGCAACGACGTGGATGGAACAGGAGGGTGTTACGCTGAGCAAAATAAGTCAATCAGAGAAAGATATGTATCATATGACCTCACTGATATGAGGAATTCTTAATCTCAGGAAACAAACTGAAGGTTGCTGGAGTGGTGGGGGGTGGGAGGGATGGGATGGCTGGGTGATGGACAGTGGGGAGGGTATGTGCTATAGTGAGCACTGTGAATTGTGTAAGACTGTTGAATCACAGACCTGTACCTCTGAAACAAATAATACATTATATGTTAAAAAAAAAAGAAGAAGATAGCAGGAAGGGAAAAATGAAGGGGGGGGAATCGGAAGGGGAGACAAACCATGAGAGACTACGGACTCTGAGAAATAAACTGAAGGTTGTAGAGGGGAGGGGGGTGGGGGGATGGGTTAGCCTGGTGATGGGTATTAAAGAGGGCACGTTCTGCATGGAGCACTGGGTGTTATACGCCAACAGTGAATCATGGAACACTACATCAAAAACTAATGATGTAATGTATGGTGATTAACATAACATAATTAAAAAAAACAAAAACAAAAAATAGAATTACCATGTGACCCAGAAATTCCACTTCTGGGTTTAAGCAGAATCTGGAAGAGATATTTATATACTAATGTTCATAGTGGTATTATTCACAATGGCTCCAAAGTGTAAAAAACCCAACTGTCTGTCAACATTGATGGATAAACACAATGTGGTATAAACATACAATGTAATATTATTCAGCCTTAAAAAGTAAGGAAATTCGGACACATCCTACAATGTGGATGAACCTTGAGGATGTTACACTAAGTGAAAATGCCAGTCACAGGACAAATATCGTATGATTTCACTTATATAAGGTACCTGGAGTACCCAGATTCATAGAGACAGAAAGTTGAAGGGTGGCTGCGGGGGCTGGGGGCCCTGGGGTAAAAGGATATTATTATTTAATTGGTACAGGGTTTCAGTTTTGTAAGATGAAAAGAATTCTGGAGATAGATGGTGATGATGGTTGCACAAAAATATGGATGTACTTAATATCACTGAACTGTATACTTAAAAATTGTTAAGATGGTAAATTTTGTGTTCTGTGTTTTACCACTATTAAAAATAATAAACAATAACTCCTGAATTAAAAAGAAATACAAATTATAATTCATGAATATCAAGATTTTAGATAAAAATAAAGTGAACATTTTTAATTTAAATTTTAAAATGTTCGTTAAATATTATTAATTTTACAAAAATAGAACAATTTGTAGTACTAACATAGACTGTCCATCTAGTTGCCAGTTTAAGTTATGGATATTAGATTTCAAAAGTGTTATGCCTAGATCAACAGATACTCAAATTTATGAGGAATACGCATTATTTAATATTGCAGATATGTCACCATGTACAACTGTTGTGAATGCCATGAGTACCTTCAGAACCACAAATTGGGACACGACGAGAATCAAGAAAAAATGCTCAACACTTCTGGGAAACAATAGCTCATTAGTGCCAGAATCTATTGCATTCATGCTGAGAAGAAAGATTTGAAAGGTTAATGAATTTGTCTTTTCTTCTTGAGTTATTTCTGCTCCTCAAGTCTTCGTGCTCTTAGGCAGTGTCTATGTTCACAACATTCAAATACAATCTTGTCTCAAATGCAACACCGGGGATCAGTGCTTCCTTGGAGCCTGCAAGTGGAGGCTCGGAGTCATGAGCCATGCTGTGTGAACTCTGAGCACCAGACCCCTGGTGAATGAAGCACCCATATATCACTCAATAAATTTATTGTTGGTGTGTGTTTGTGATATGTGGGGCCCTCTAAAAGCACAAGGCCCCCCTCTCTTGGGCCAAAGCATGGCACTGTGGAAGCCCCACTTGCTATTCCTTGAAATGAAAATGCACCATTAGACTCAATCTATCTACACAGTGAAGGCTAGAAGGTATGCTACCCAGAGAATTTGTTTGTCTGAGTGGGATATTCGGGTTTAAATTTTCTAGATGTCAGCCATATTTTATCAGCTCCATGACCTTGGAAAAGTTGTTGATGAGTTGTATATCCAGGTTTTCTCATATCTAAAATGGGGATTAAAATAAGACCTACATCATTGCATTGAGTGAAGGTGAAACGAGAAAATGCATATAAAGTTCTTAGCAGTACAGTTGGCCCAGGGAGGGTATTAGTGATAATGGTGATGATGATATGGATGGCAAGGCAGATCTTGAGGAAAATTCATGTTCCATTACAGTTTCTGGGATAGACTGGCTGATACTCAGAACTAAGAGAACTATTTGGATTAGTGTGTGACTTAATCATCAAGATCTGAGGCACAGCTAATGTTCTTTAAATCTGGAAAATAGAACAAGGCTTTCTGAGGTATCCGGCAACCTATAGATAGTTGTGTGGCTGCTTGAGCAGACCCAGAATGACCACCAATGAGATTAAGAACATCAGGTTCTCTGAAGAACTTGAGCACCCTTGGGATACGCTGCAAATATCTGAGTGTTTACTTGGCAAGTTTCAGGGCCACAGGGAGGCCTTAATGTCCAGGAAAGAGGTCTTTGCCTGAAGTTGAGTGATTGATTGATTGGAAGGCCTGTTTTATGAGAATTGAGTTCACCTATCTCATTTTGTGTACAAAATTCCATAACAATTGCTTTCCGCCATTTCTCTGCTGAACTGTGGACCATCTAAGGGAGAGAAAAGAAACAAAACAAAACAAAACAAAACTTCAAAGGTAATTTCTTTCCACTCCAAAAACAGTCTTGGGTTTTCTGGTTTAACAGAGAATTAAGAAGTAAGCATGCATCATTTATTTCTATGCAAAAAACATTCTTCACTTCAAACAGCAATTAGTGATAACATTTCTATCTCGTGTCATGATGAGATTTTTATGCTAATCATCACATAGCAGTAAATTAATCATTTGGGCATAGTTAGAGAGAATGTATATTTCATGAGACAGATATAGATATCAAGATCTGTTTGATATTTACTCAAGGTAAATGGGAAGCATCTCAAATTATTATGAAGGGAGCATACTAAGCAAATAGGACTGTGTGGCGATGAAATGTATGCAGCGTAGAAGCATGAGGATTTTCAAAACACTCTTGGTATCATTAGTGTAATTATTGTGAGGAAGGTGGAACACTCCGGGGAACCCAAACTCCAAATCATTCGCAGATGAATCAGAACCCTTGAAGCCACATCCTAACAATGTCAAGGGCAAAATCAGCAGTCGACCTCCTTTCCCTGAATCCCCTCCTTTTTCTGTTGCAGAATTCATCCTTTTCACATTTTACAATATTTAAATGGGTTTCTCTTCTCAATTTGCACTTAAGTCTACTCAGCCAAATGAATCAGAAAAGCAACTTGACCCTGAAGTCAAATTGGAAAGCTGCTGCATGCGCAGGAAAATAGGCCACCACTCAAATGATACACCATTTCTTAGCAGATGAACAATTCCTTTTACAACAATTTATGGAAAATAGGATAATTCTACTAAAAAATTCCTATAGCTCTAGTTATTCAATAGCATGTGCCAGGCTCCATGGCTGTCTGGTAGACCTAAGCAATTACGATGTGCAGGTTGTCATGAGTTTCTACTCATCTTCCTTCTTCCACCCTTCTATTTTTCCAACTCCCATGTACTTCTCCTATATTGTTGGTGCTACTGATAACCACACTCACCAATACACTCCCCTGCCTGCACATATTCACATTGTCTCCCAACCCAGCCCCTCTATACTCCTCCAGTAAGGGGACCAGTTAGGAAATGGTAGGGCCATTTCTGCTACCATTTGGCCCTACGTAATTCTTATTTTAATTTTTATTTTCTTTTTTTTTTTGCCCCCAGGGAAATAAACAACTCTCTGGGGAAAGGCAAGGAGATGTAATAAGATCCACTTCCTAAGAGCCATTTCTAGGATATGGGCAATGGGCTCTGATAATTCATAGATGCCATTTATTTTTAATCTCATTTTTGGGCAGTTCATGAAATCCCTGAGAATCCACATTCCCAAACTGGAATCAAATAGTGAGAAAAGAATGAATCAAAATGTACAAAACATAAAATGAATATGATTGTATACATTGGACAGAAATTACTGACCTAATACGCACTTGTGACCAAGCAGAGTAACAAGGACCAGACTTGTCTTTGGGTATTAACCAATTAAAAATCCAAATAAAATGTATGAAACAAGATAGTGGACATCAGGAAATGAGGACAATGGTGCCCAAGAGACAGAAAACAAATGAGGTGAGCTCCATTCTTCCCTGAGATTACTGCTTTAAGAGTTCCAGTTCCAGTTCAGAGAAGGGAAACCCAAGCAGAGCCCAGCCCACTGTGAGTTGAGGAGAGGGATCTGAATATTTCTGGAAGGCCAAGGTAGCTAGAGTTCGCAGGATACACTCTTAGGAGAGAGGCTCACAGAGTGAGAATGCTAGAGATCTGCAGAGGGTCTCCTCACCCCTCCCTCACTTGAATTCTGCAAGTTCTGATATGGAGGTGTTTTTGGGTGTGTGTGTGTGTATGTATGCTATTATTCAGTTGTAGAAAAAATTTTTTTAAATTTTATTTATTTATTTGAGACAGAATGAGAGAGAGAGAGAGAGCTCATGAGAGGGGGGAGGGTCAGAGGGAGAAGCAGGCTCCCCGCCGAGCAGGGAGCCCGATGCGGGACTCGATCCCGGGACTCCAGGATCATGACCTGAGCCGAAGGCAGTCGCTTAACTGATTGAGCCACCCAGGCGCCCCCAGTTGTAGAAATGTTTTAATTTCAATTATGATTTCTTCTGTGGCTCATGGGTCACTTAGTGGTCATTTTTTCATTAAGTCACTTATTTTCCAAACTTCTATTTTTTTAGTTGATTAGCCCATTGTGGTCACTGAATATGATAGTAAATTTATTGAGCCTTTTTTTTTTCTTACTCCATTTTTTTGGGAGATTGTTCTGTGGTTTTACATCCTACCTCTATTTTTTTGTGGTTACACTTGAAAACCTAAACTTTATATTTAACTTAGCAAAACCTAAAGTTAAACAGTATCTCTATTATCTTCTAGAGAAATACAAGGACCTTAGAACACTAATTCCTGTAACTTCCCTTTTTATTTATATGCTATTCTAGCCAAGCAACTTGTTCCTTTTCAAATTCTAGATTATTGTGTTATTTAATTTAGTTCATGTTTGTTTAAAATGTTTGCTACTTTCTTTGCTCTTAATTTCTATTGAGCTGCCAGGCTGAGGTGATCGATTAGTACAATTAGCCAAAATGATATTAACAATAATGCCTTTACTACTTACTGAGACAGTGTAAACAAGATGCAAATATAGACACCAGTTCCCCAATGTTCCATTTTCCCCCACAGAATGGTGCCAGGCAAGAGTCAGGTGAATCAGCACAGATGGAGGAGAATCTTAACTGCCAAAGAGCTCTGAACAAAAGACTCCTGCCATTTTATGAACTTGGGGTGGAGCCAGGGGGGAGAGAGGGTGGGGAAAGGGCCAGAGTGGAAAGAACTGAGTCACAGTAGACAAAAGTATCTTAGTCAAGATTCCCAAAAAGAAGGCCTCTGAATGGAGATGTTGGGCTTGGAATGCAGATATGTTTATAAGCATGGCTGGCCCAGAGGTCCTGAGTCCTTGACTGCAACTCCCTTCAGAAAACTATAATGCACCAGCTGTGTACCAAGTCTTGCATGAGGAGGATAGCTTTCCCCTGTGAGGCCTGCCAGGCAAAGTCCTTGTAATTGCCTTGTAGTTGGGCCTAAAAGATCACTGATCTTTCATGTGGAGCCAACACTCTTCATTTCTTGTCTTCACTCTAGGACATTTGAGTTTTGCCAGGAGTACACATTTTCACATTTCCTTTAGTGAAGGTCTGCTGGTGGTAAACTCTCTGTTTTTATTTGCCTGAAAATATCCTTCTTTTGTTCTCGTTCTTGAATGATACTTCCGAGCATAGAATTTTTAGGTTGACAAATTTGTCTCTTAGCATGTTGAAGATACCTTTCCAATGTCTTCTGACTTGCACTGTTGCTATTATTAAGAAGTTAGCTATTATTAATTGTTGCTCCTTTTAAAATAATTTATCTCTTTTCTCTTGGTTCAAAGATCTTCACTTTTGCGGTCTACAGTTTCTCTACAATATGTCTTAGTGTAGATTTCTTCTCATTTCTGCTGTTTGGGATTCACTGGACTTCTTGACTGTGTGAACTGATCTAATTCATTATTTCTGGAAGATTTTCATTTATTATTTCTTCTTATTCTCATGTTCTATATTATTTTTTCTCATTTATTATAATTCTTTGTCCTACTTTTTCTTTTTTGCAACCCTGATTAAATATATATTAGATGATCTAACTACCTTTCACATTTCTTAACCTTTCATTCATATTTTCCATATCTTTTTCATTCTGTGATAAATTCTCATTAGTTTCTTCACTATTCTTTTGGTTCATGAATTCTCTCATCTGCAGTTAAACTGGCCCTCTAATATTTTTTTAAAGATTTTATTTATTTATTTGACAGAAAGAGAGAGAGCGAGAGCAGGAACACAAGCAGGAGGAGTGTGAGAGGGAGAAGCAGGCTTCCCGCTGAGGAGGGAGTCCGATGCGGGGCTCGATCCCAGGAACCTGGGATCATGACCTGAGCCAAAGGCAGACGCTTAACAACTGAGCTGCTCAGGCGCCCAACTCTCTAATTTTTAAATTTCACTTCCAGTTGTCTATATTTCTTGAAGTTCTGTTTGTTGTTGTTATTTTTTTTTTACAATATGCCTGTTCACTTTTTATAGCCCTGTGCTCTCTCACTCAATTTTCAATCTCTTCTTTTACTTCCTTAAACATAATAGAGTTTAGAAAATTCTCAATCTAAAAATTCCAGTATCAGAGGACACTGCAGGTTAATTATGGTTTGTTTTTTTAGTTTGTTTTTGCTCAGAATGTTATGGGTCTTTCTTTTTGTTTTTTGTTTTTTTAGTTTTTTTTCTTTTGACTGTGAGTTCATATTATTGTTAACTTTATCTATGGGAATTTCTTCGGACCCTCCACTCAGCACTTATTCAATAATGGTAATTTTCTTTGCAGTCTTCAAATTTATTTTTAGTTCACCATAGTATTGAGGTATAATCCTTTGAGGTCTCAATTTTATTGGGGGGTCTCTAGTATCCTTAATATGGCAGGCTTTGGGATTTGTCTACAGTCCTCTGAACCCTGAAAAGCAGCGAAAATGGAAGTGTAGTTCACCACCTTCTGCAAATTTTCTCAAAGAGAAAGGTGGTTTAATGTTCTGTGTCTCCCTCTTGCTTCTTGCCTTCAGTTAATTTTTTGTCTAATATTCTTTACCTTTTAACCAGTTAACTCATACATTTAAGAAACCGTTTCTCAGATGGTATCCAGAATTTTTGGTTTTCAGTGTAAGCGTCAAAGTACCAGTTTGCTGCCTTGCCAGAAAGAAAGACATACTGTGTCTGTCAATCCTTTTAATTATTACCATTAATAAAACTGATACTTTGTCTTCTCCTTCTGGAAATTCAATTACATGTATGTTAGGTCCCTTGATACCCAATGACATGTATATTAGACCACATACATATTAGATCGCAACTCTTGGAAGCTCCATTCTGGTGCTTGTTTGTTTTCCTTCACTATTTCTTCCCTTCCTGTTTTAGTTTGGGCAATTTTTATCGACCTATATTCAAGTTCATCCATTCTTTCCTCAGCCTTGTTCAGTCTGCTAAAACACCCAACTAGGAAATGCTTCATCTCTGACACTATATTTTTTATTTTGGCATTGACATTTGACTCTTTTATAGTGTTCATCTCTCTGTTGAAATTCTTCTGTTCATACATGTAGTTCTAGATCTTTAATGTATCAATTGCAGTTATGTCAGAGTCCCCTCTGATAGTTCCAGGTCATCTTTTAGTCTGGCTCTCTTACTTGCTTTAACTCTTGACAATGCATTTATTTTTTTCTTGCAGTTTTTAAAATTTTTTTTTTTAATTAAATACTGGACATTGTGTGTGGAAGAATAGTAGGTATTGTTCCCAGAGTGGACGAGGATCAATGTTTTTGCTCTATTGGGTCCTATAAGTATTATTTAGCCTCACTGGGCCTCAACTCCATTAACAGCAAAATGGGAATAAGCTCCAACTTCATAGAAATATTGTGTGAAATATATAAAACATAAATGTCAAATATTACTATCACTTGCCTGGTGATAGACCTTAGTCATTACGTTTAACAAGGCAACTAGATTATACACACTTGATTTTTATCTTCAAATGGTGACATCTTTTTTTCCTGTTAATTAAAAAAAATTCACATTTCATTTTAAAAATTCTAATGAGATGAAAATGTACAAATTAGAAAGCCAAGTGCCTCCACACATTCAACTAAGACCATACTACAATTGCGTAGTCCTCAACTCCTTCAATAAATAACATGAAAATTGGTATCACTGCATTTGATTTAATGTTCATCAATACACACATAAAACCCAGAGATCTTCCAAATATTTATCCAGTATTTACTTTCAAAGTAGAAACAATAATTTTTCAGGTGGTATAAATAAAGGTCCTCACTGTGATCCCTACCATATTTTGACTCTATGTGGGGGTGAGGATCATTTCGTCCTCTAGAAACAGAGAATTTGGAAAGTATCAAGAAGGATGGTAACAGAAAGTATGAGAAAGTACTGTGCTTTGAAAATGGATCAGGTGAGAAGAAAGTGTTAGTTGAAGAGGGACTTCCTGAAGCTGCAGACCCAGCATTCCTGGCCAGAAAGGACGAAAGTGCTTTCTTTCCTGTTCTTGCTAAGACCTGGGCAGCATTTCCTCCATGTCCGCGATGACGTAAGAGACAACAGCCCAAACAGCAGCAGCCACGTTCATCTGCTTTGGATCCATGACAGTCATGGTGTCTCCATGGGAGTGATGGAAGGAGAAATATTTATAGAGGTCATCAAGTAGACTGGCTCCTGGGGAGAAAAGAGGAAGAATTCTTAGTGAAGTATTTCAACAGAGATTGCTGAATAGCTGCTCAGAAACCATTGCTGCTCTTCCCTGCTTCATTCTTCCTGCTCCTACTATGCAGGCTGCAGGGGCAAAATCATTACTTTCCCAGGCTCTCTGGCAGCAAGAAATGGCCAAGTGAGTACCATTCTTACTACTAGGATAGGAGTGGCAGGCTGTGGGAAAGTTCTAGGAAAGCCTTTACTTTGCTGACAAGAGTCAGGAAATGCCCTAGTGCTGCATAAAAGTAGATGAAAAGTTTGGAGCTGCATGGGGTAATAAAGTCCCCACACTAAAAATGGCCAAGTGGAAAGACACGAGGAGCCTGGATTTCGAAAACACTGCTAGCCCACTGAATAGGCTCTACATTGCCTACTTCTGGGCTATCTGCCACGTTAAAGAAGATAAAACTTTATTTAAGGAACTGATAGAAATGTCTTATTTATTTATAAAAAGATAATATCTGCTTTTGTATCTGCAAGAGTGCAAATTATGTACCTTCCTGGATTCAAAAGAAAGCCCATACTCTTTTGCTGAAGTTTTTTTGCTCAAATCATTCATATACTTCCCATGAAATTTCCCAACAACCTCTAAGGGCATCAGCAGGCACCTCTGCCCCACTTAAGAGCTTTCTTCTTTCTCTAGGGAAGCTTTTCTCTAGCTTCCACCATGGACCACAGCCTTGGGGAGTCTTTGCCCTCCGTTAGTCATCCTTCAAAACCTCCTGGGCCCAGTCTGTGGATTCCAACTGCAGTTCTTTATCCTCTGGCCTTATTTATTTATGTGTGGTGTTATTGTGAACTACACATACATAAGATTGAAGAGAACACAAATGCATATCAGGATGGGTGACAATATAAAAAGTATGCATATGTCCACAAGCCACTGCAAGAAAGATACTACCAGTACTTTTGAAGCCCATTTTATGAGTTCCCCCACCCCTTGTTGAAACTTTCCTCCCTCCAGAGGTACCCCCTTTCCCATTCTGCTCGTGTGTTAATCACTCCTTGATTTTTAAAAAATTAGTTTTACCATATATTTATATGGCATTACAAACAAACAAACAAACAAATAAATAGTTTAATACTGTCTGCCTTTGAAACACATACACCAGATATATTTCTGTGACTTGGTTTTTCCACTCAGCGTGTCTAGCTGTGGTATTTTCATTTTTTTTATTGCTGTACATTATTTCATTGAATTTATTTATCCATTTTCCTGATGATGGACATTTAGGTTGTTTCCAGTTTTCTGTTATTATATGTTGTTATCAGCATTCATTAGCATCTAAATAAAGGAATGGACATGCTGGGTTATAGAGTAGGTGTGTGTTTAATTTTATCGTGTAATTCCAAAATGTTGCCCTTTTCAGTGTGCACTTCTGCTGTCAGTATATGAGTCTTCCTCTTGTTTCACAAGAGCACTTGCTCTTGTCAAGCTAATATTTGCTAATCTGGTGGGTATGAAATATTATCTCATTATGGTTTTAACTTTAACTTTTAAAATTATTAATGAGATTGAGCATGTTTTCATATATGCATTTTTTTGTCATTTGTTTGCTCTTTTGTAGAATACTTGCTCATGCCTTTTGCCCATTTTTCAATTGATTTGTCTTTTCTTATTGATTTGTAGGAATTCTTAAAATATTTTAGATACTAGGAATAAGAAGTGTCTTAATTACTACTAGTAGCTTAATTACTACTGCTTTCTATTTCTTGTAATTGGGCAGAGCAAATTCCCCCACCTTCTCTTTCCTCCTCTTCAGGAATGTCTTACTATTCTTAACTGATCTTTCAGATGAAGTTTGGAATCATTTTAAAATTGTACAAAAAATATTTTTGGATTTTGATGGAAATTGTGTAAATCTAAATGTCAATTTGGGGAGAATTCACATCTTTATATTAGGCTATTGTGTTCTTATCCATGAAAATGGCATATTGATATTTCCTATTTATTGAAGTCTTCTGTAGCATCTTTAAAGTTTTGTGATACAGCTTGCACACCTTTTGTTAGTTTTCTTTTCTCCAAGGCTTATACTCTTTGTCACTAATTGTAAATTCTACATTTAAAAAAAATTGCATTTTCTATTTGTGGCTATCCATTTTTAGCATCAAGGATATATCTGATTCATAAAAAGGCAGGTGTTCCTTCTTTTGTACACTCTGGAGCAGTTTGTGTAAGATTAGAATGATTCATTTCCTGTTTTTTTTTGTAGAACTCTTTACAAAACCATCTAAGTCTGATACTTTGCTTATGGTAAATATTTTAACTAATGATTCGATTTCTATCCTGGTTATTGGGCTATTGGGATTTTGTATTTCCTCTTGAATTAACTTTGGAAATTATATTTTTTAGGAATGTGTGAGTTTTGCCCAAATATTCAAAATAATCAAAATCAAAATAATCAGCATGAAGTTATCACTAATATCCTGTTTTTAACTCTGTTTATGTCTGCATATATAGGAATGCACTTTTTTTCATTCTCCATATTAGTTATTAGTGTCTTCTCTTTTTTTCGTTCATCAGCCTTGCCAGCAGTTTGTCAGTCGTATTAGTTTTTTGAAAAAAAAAAAGAAAAAGACAATTTTTTTAACACTCTCTACTAGAGTGGTTTTTCTTCCATTGATTTCTACTCAAATTTATTGTATCCCTCCTTCTTCCTTCTTTGGCTTGATTTGCTTTTCTTTTTCTAACATCTTGAGTTGGATGTTCAGTTTATTGCTTTGCAGCTTTCTCTGTCTCCAGCATAAGCAATAAGGCTGCAATCTTCCTCCTACTGCTGCTTCAGCTATCTATATCCTGCCAATTCTGAGGAGTAGTTTCAAGATCACTCAGTTCTAAATATTCATCAATTCCTGGTTTGATTTCTTTTCTTTGATACATAAGTTAGAATGTGTTTTCTAATTTTTAAAAGTATGGGGGTTCCCTTAGTTATTTTTTCATTATTGATTTCTAATTTAACTTACAGAGAATGCAGGCTATATGATACAGACTCTTTTCAATCTATTGAGATTTTCTCTGTGGCCTATTGTGTGATCCATTTTTATAAATGTTCCATGTGTGGAAAAGAATGTGCTTTCTGTGTGTTGTGTATATGCGTGAGATCAACTTGTTTCTTCAAATCTTTTAACACCTAACTTATTTATTGTCTATTTGAGCTATCAATTTTGAGAGGGATATGTGAAAATGTCCCTCTGTGATTTTGGATATTTTTTTTTGTAGTTCCAGCAATTTCTTTTTTATATATTTCAAACTTATAGTATTAGGGGCACACAAATTTAGAATTACAGCTTCCTGATAAATTGAACATCTTTATTAATGTGTAGTTATCCTCTTCATTTTTAGTAATGCTTTTTGTCTTGAAGTTAGCTTTTCCTAATATTTAATATAGCCATACCTTCTTCCTTTACCTTAGTATGTCTTCTCCCATCATTTTTTTAAAAGATTTTATTTCTTTGACAGAGAGATAGAGAGCACAAGTAGGCAGAGAGGCAGGCAGAGGGAGAGGGAGAAACAGACTCTCCACTGAGCAGGGAGCCCAACATGGGGCTCGATCCCAGGACCACGGGATCATGACCTGAGCCGAAGGCAGCCGCTTAACCGGCTGAGCCACCCAGGCGCCCCACTCCCCCATCATTTTACTTGCACTCTTCCTTGCTCCTTATGTTTTTAGAGGTTTCTCTTATGAAGACTTTAAAGTTGAATTTTAAAAATCTAGTCTAACAGCTTGAATTTTAACTGGACAGTATAATTTCTTTATGAAGATTGTGATTACTATTAAATTGAATTCATTTATGCCATCCTAGTTTTTACGTTCTATTAGTTAATTTTGTTTTCTAGATTTGTTTTTTCCCCCTTTTCTTTCTTGCCTTCATCTGTGTTGATTTTTCCCCCTCCTATCATTCCTTTTCTCCCCCCTCCCACTCTACTAGTTTGAAGGTTACACGTTTTATTTCAATTCCTTCAGTGGAGACCTTAGAAATCATAGCTCACATACTTAGCCAAAGTTAATCAATATCTTATTTAAGGACACTAGGGCCCCTTTGTCTCCAGATGCACTCACTGCTCATTAAAAACCATGGTTCCGGGAAACAGATTGGCAGATACCCTCACACAAGATACCCTCTGCTAGGCTCCAAAGTTTTCTTACCTCTATCAATTCTTGCTTTATCATTTTTCATCTCTGAGGAATTCCCTTACTTTGCCTCACTAAGCCATGTATTATAGAAAGGCAATTATTGTTTTATCCACAATTATTTTTGGTGGGGAAAAATGTGTCTACAAACTTCTGGTCTACCATATTAAAAGCATTCTCTTCTCATAGTCCTCTACTTCCTGCCCTGTGGATTGGATCCTGTCCTTGTTTCTGAGACCTTCGGGGCCTCAGGATGTTGTCTAGATTTTCTCTATCCCAACCCAAGTTTTTAAAACTTTGTGTCAAGGTTAATCTCTATCTATGTCCCCAAACTCCTTGCTCTGAAGTAGAATTTGGATTTATCTCCATTCATATTTCACATTGAGTTCAGCTATGGTGCTATTAAGCAAACATAAGCCGGTGAGGCAAAAAAATAAGTGTAAAAGAAAAACTCAAACCTCACCTCTGACAACTAATGACTCCAATGCCTGCTAGGAAACATCCAAAACAGGGCGTGTTCAGCTGACAATGCCTAGTAAACGTTCACCCGTGTGGAGGAGAGTTCTTCCAATTCAATAATTTTTCTTTCTAAACTAGTAAAACATGTTTTCTGTTAGCCCGGTGGCTCTGAAAAAAGTGGGATCTGACCATCATCCAGCCTGATAATGTAACACCATCAGTGGCTGGGCTGGAGCTGAGGTCCACAAATATTCAGAAGGTTCAATCCAGTTCAATTGGGTAAATACTTGAGTTCCTGCAATATTCTAGGCAGTGGTCTAAGGACTGAGGCAGGCAAAAAGATGGAAAAAGACACAGCTGCTGCCATCAAAA